GCTTAGAGAGGGCTGAAAGCCCTATGAAGCGGTATATAAGTCTAACTCTTATTGCTATTGCTACTAAGCAAGCAAGCTAAGCATTAGTGTCTCTTGTTTTCTCAAGTTATTGCATCTCCAAGGTGCAAGTGACGTTGGGATTCGAAAGTCTGTTATATGAATATAAAAACTTATATTTATTCTCAGGGGTATTCTCTGAGCTTGGTTGTTTGCTTGCAAATGTTTCATTACTCACACTGGTAGGTGTCATCATTGCTAGTTCTAGTCCCAATGCCAGTATTTGTTCTTAGAGAAATAGGGAAAAGATGATTACTGTAGTCTAAATTTGACTCATATCATTTCTACATGCCCTCATTCTGTTTCATTCTTCTTTTCCCACCTCAGTGGGATTCTGTGCTCTTAGCACTTAAGTGGAAGGATGAGTCTGTGCTTTTCAGAGATTTTCATTCACAGGAGATGATAGTGAGGAAATTTTGTCAATTTACTTTTCTCCTCCCATTCCTTTATTGTTCCAAAATAGACAGAAAGCTTCAGGGGCATGAAGAGGTCATGAAAAATGACTCCTCCACCTGCATTTACCAATTTCAGAATCAATGCATTTAAGCCAAGGCATTTCTTCACATACAAATCAAAAATTCCACCTATAATGCTTTATTTTGAGGCATTCAAAGGTTTTCTCGGAAGAATGTTATTGCAGCCTTCCTTTGCTATTAAGAAGAATGGATTGCCCTATTTTTCCCCCCACTAGGCTGAGCTCAGATGTGATGAATTTGAATAGATGTCAAATTTTGTGTGTGTGACTATGTGCATGTTGTTCTTTTCGATTTTTTTAAATTTTTCTCTGGTGTAATTGATAAAAATCTATAATGCTACCTTTCACATTTCTGTGATTTCCTTTAAATTTTCTCTATCTGAAATGTTTTTGAGTATCACCGGTCCATTAATGCAATGCTGTATAAAACAAGTTTTATCCAGTCAAAATTTAGCCCTGTTAACTCCAATTTAATTTGGGAGTATATGTTCGGCTATCTTGTACTTATCTTGTTGATACAAGAACTACACTCATAAATGAATAGAGCAAGAAGCCAGATTTATGTCAATCACTTGTTCTGAAGGGACTAGGTACTAGCTTCATCATCTCTGCTCCTTTCTCTCTCAAAATACTTGATCAGCAATATTTCATCATCTTTATCACATCACTCCCCCCCCCCCCAAAAAAAGAACTAACTTTGGCTGGATCCTACTATGAGATGTTTTGTTATTGGTTAGGAATGCTTCATTTGATATAGTTGCTTTTTTTAAAGAATATTTACTAATCTAATAAAATAGCTTTCTGAATCCAGCCGGTCTTTCACAGTCTCCTAATTGACTGCCACATGATAATTGTTTTACAGCTGGTTTGCATTTCGGTCTGCCAAATGAGGATAGTAGTTCAAGGTTTTGCTGAAGTGGGTTTTATTCTCCATAAGTAAACACACACAAATACACCCACAATCCTAATGTTAAAGTCTGCAAGGTGTAACTATGGAAGTTACCATCTATATGCACTGAAAAAAAGATTTCAAATTACAAAGTAGGAAAATGTCCGGTGTGGGCTAGACCAGTGATGGTGAACCTTTTCGGGCACACACACTTGTCTGGGCTTTGACCAGGAAGAGGAGCTGCCCCTGAAGAGTGTTCGAAGACTGCAGTTCTGTATTTGTATTTGTATTTATTAATGCTTATAGGCCGCCCTTTTCCCTGAGGGGACTCAGGGCGGCTTACATAAAATAAAAAGGAGGGGGGTATACAAACAATAGACACA